TTCCCGGAGGACGACCTAAGAACTGGTTTCAGATATTGTTCTTCCATATTCTTCTCGAAGACGGGCTGACTCGTTACGGATGACGTAGAATAACGAGAGCAAACAGGGCACATTTCCTAGGCATATTACACGGTATTTACAAAGTTGGTGCTTCGTCTGCTCGGTTCCTCCTGCAAAGCACATAGTCTCGCTTAATAATGTTTCTCAAATAGCCAAATCACTTGTATTTATTTATTAATTATAATATTTAAATGCAAGCCTTTACTGTACACCTTTCACTTTATACAGAATCAGTTATTCATTCAAGTGCAGAGATAATGAGTCAACTAGAAATCAGTGCTATTAGTAGATAAATAAACTTTGAATAGACACAGTGCGTTGTTATTAGACACTCTTGTTCAACTGTTTCTAAATGGATACTTAGAGTTGAAACTACCCTTGAACCAGTTCTCATAGGGTCATGTGTTACTGTTTATTAATCATGAGCACATGAATCATTAATTACAATATGCTTAAGTTCTTTTTTTTTTTTCTGAATTAAGATAGTTCTTTGTTGCATTCGCTCACTAATTGCTCTGTTGAAACCCAAAAACTCAAATCTTTTGTAATTTCTAGTTAATTAGGGGTCAAAACTCATACACTCACACATATACACAGTATTTATCACTGATAATTTTCTTTGTGACAAGGGGAAGTGAATAGATACCTAATCTCTTCACAGAGCACCAAATGGATCGAGTTGGACTTGATTATTTTGAGGCTGCACAGCAGCCTGGGGTTGTTGTTGTTGCTGCTGTGTTTGTTGCTGGAGGTTAGCACCCATCATGGGATTTGTGTTGGGCATCATCATTGGCGCAGCTCCTCCTGTGACCATCATGCCACCAGGACCACCAGGACCACCAGGACCACTGGGCATTGTGCTCATCATTGGCCTCATGCCCTGCATGGCCATTGGCACACCTTGCATTCCCTAGGAACACCAGAAAGCCGCCTGATCAGATCCAGCCTGTACTTCTGGAATGTTTACCATTTCGAGTCCAACTGCTTCCATATTTCTTCCTTAATATCATTTCCAACCGACCATTCATATTGAATTGAACAGAAATGTTAAATTTTGCCTACTATATTTTGTCACATTTGTTTTCAATAAGGGTTTTGTATGGTTTTGAGTAATTTTAGAAGTGTGTTTGGACATATGTAATAGGAAGTGCTGCAACCAGGGTGTGCATGTGTGTTTATATATATATGTTTACAAATAATTTTACAGAGAAAATTGATGCATCTTGAATTTATCATACAATAGGGTATTTCATATGCAACATTCAAACAACACACGAAGAGACACAGAGTCAAATTGACTAGAAAGATTAGTTCAAATTAAACACACATGTGCATCACATATATATGTACATATATGCAATGACCTTTGGAGAGTCCTGTGAAGGTTACATTTTACTTTTTAGATGGAATCTTATATTTTTGATTACATATTCTCCTAGCTGACATCGAACCGTTTTCAAAATACTACCTAAACATGTATTTTGCATAAGCCGTTTTTGAGTTATTAAGCTTCAAATTTGGCATGCTGCTGCGCCGGTATTAACGTTACTCGATGTACACCGAGTGGAGGTTGCTCGGTCGGACTTTGTACATCATGTTGACTCTAAAAGGAACCGATTTTGTATGTGTGTGTGTGTTCTTCACTTCTATTTTAAGGTACATAGTTGTCTTGCTACATGTACTCTATTATTAAAAATAAATTTTTGTAATTTTTGTAGGAAGAGCACAAAAACGAGCCACGGTATAGATGTGGCTCAATTTAGTTGTTTTTCGTTTAAAAGCACACACAGCTCGACCGAGTTACCTCTCCACGGTGTACATCGAGTAATGCTAATGTGGGGGACTCGCAAAATTTAAAGCTTAATAACTCAAAAACGGCTTGTGCAAAATACATGTTCAGATCGTGTTTTGAAAACGGTTCGATGTCAGCTACAAAAATATGTAATCAAAAATATAAGGTCCCATCTAAAAATTAAAATGTAACCTTCATAGGACTCTCCAAAGGTCATCGCAAAGTCAAATAATTATTATCACGATGTGTCCGCCTTGACACCATACAACATTTGTCATATTTATATGTATTATATATATATATACACGCGCGCGCGCGCGCGCGCACACACACACGAATTAATGCAAAAGCAGGAAACACTGAGGATGTGGTATCATTCAATAGAAACATTGGTTACAGAGGTATACTATCTAGTCTTTTGCTAACTACTCATTTTCATTTGTCAATAATTCAGAAAACGAAGAAGAGATTTCGTGGAATGGAATAATTTTCATAACAATATATTTTTGTATTAAGAACTAATTAGTGAAGACACTTGATATGTACAGCAAATGTGAAATCAAACCTTTGACAAAGCAACGTATCCTTGATGAAGTAGAACTTACCAGTGGTGCAGTGTGGGGAGGGAAGCCCAGGGTGGTTGTAGGAAGTTGCGTCATTCCTTGTCCCTGTAACAGCAGGTAGCATGCCATATGCCATGCATGCATTGTACAGCTAAGTGTTTGGATCAACAATCATATCTTGTCTATATTCTAACATCAATTTCTAACATGATTGAAATGTCATGTACTACTGTAGGTTATTTTAATTATAGAAAATTGTGAAAGTCTTTCACCATGGGGTTTTTTAAATAACTGAAGGTATACTTAGGAAGCAAGTTCACCTTATAGACCTTCAATTGTAGTGTTCAATGTAGTGGTACTTTTATAAAAAAAATAGTCCATAGTGCAACTAAGTGTGCAACATGATAACCGAGCTGAGTGTATCAAGATACCAAGAATAATAAAAAATATTGTTTGACTTAGCAACTGAATGAGTAATGAAGCAAGTGAACAACTATAATCTAAGGTTGTGGGAGTGTTGTAATAAAATTCCTCGTTATCGTTTTTGCCACTGCACTCGCTTATCGATTGTTTACTTCCACAAGAAAAGTAGCTCCGATTGTTCCTTTCCAGAAACGAAAATAGAGCAGGTGGAGTACGATTTATATTTATAGTGAATGGTAATCAGATAATGATTAAGAATAGCATGCCAATAGTAGTTCAATGTCAAATGGTCGAATGTAGATAAGGTAATATCCAAGAGACAGTAGTATTAGAAAGTCTCAATACATCGATGTCCAAGATATTGTGCTGAAGACCAACGTGCTGATAGTGAATCAATGCTGGAGAGACTGTCACTGTATTAAACTCACCATTGGACGGTAACCAGCGCCAGTTGTAGCTGCCATTGGCTGAGGAGTCCACCCACCAGCTGGACCACCAGCTTTGGCAGCGTTTTTAGGCGAATTCCATTGCATACCCCTGACAGAAAAAACATAAAATTACTCAATACTGTTCATTATTGTTTAACTGATACAATTTTCTGTTATCTTTTTCTGCTTCAATGGAAATTTCAAAGGAAATAGTGGCTTACTTGACTTGTTGTTGAGCACTCTTGTTGATAGTCAAATTCTGGGCAAGACTAGCAAGACTACTGTCCAAGTCTCCAGTGAGCACTTTCCCAGTGGATGCTGGGTTCTGCTGTTGTCCTGCTGCTGAAATATTATTATCTCCAGCTACAGTAGTAGGCATCAGTACCGTGCCTAAACCGTCAAAACCTAAGCAACATCTACATCAACTTAAGCCCCAGAAAGCAGAACCCAAGAATTGCGCGGGTTTTTTTTTTGCATATGGTGTAATATACAGAGATAAAGAGACAATTTTTATAAACTTAAGAAAAAAAGCACAGTTTCCGACAGAAATGAACCGAATGGAGTATAACCTTTCACTGAATGATAGGAAATCAATCAATCCTGAAGAAGCCATGCTTTCAAGTGTGAATGGATAACCATTATTTTGACCAAAAATAATATCTACTCCTTTAATGTACAACATATATTTAATTTCTCATTTAACTGCAACAAAACTTATAAATAGGTACGTAAGTACGACCAGAGAATCTCTAAGGCAAGTTAAAAGGTAACTTATACTGATGTTATAGTAAATTCCCATGCAAATCTAGTAACTTTATGAAAACTACTCTACAAACCATAAATCACCGATGCTGCGCACCTCTGAGAGTACATACCTTTATTAACTACCTGCTAAACTATATACATATATGTATAATCTACACAAAGCATCACAAGAAGAGAGTACGCAAAGGTCCACTCAGAAGACCAAAGCATCACTGATTCCTCATAAGTTTTAGAAGCATGCAAAAAAAGAAGAAGAAACAGCATAAATCAGCAATGCATTCCTGTCACCTGAGATTGGCTGCTTGGCTGGGGAACCGTACCCTGCTGGGACTTGTGTAGGAATACCGTAACCGACCATCGGTCCGCTAGGCATAACAGGCTGCTGCCCAGTGGCAGACATACCCATATCAAACGTGCCAAAGCCTTGTTGCTGTATAGGTTGTTGCGTCTGCTGAGCAGTAGGAATCTGCTGAGCAGCAATGGGTGCAGGCCGCGACGGAGACCCGCCCAGCGCCATACGAATACTATCGTTCAGGTCGTCGAACGCGCTTTTGCTAGGAGCAGCGGCGGACATGGACACTGGTGGCGTTCCAGAGGATGGTTTACCCACC